CCCAGAAGAAGAAGCAAAATGAGCAGTGATTAAAGTCAGTATCTTTTATTAAGTAAAAGTCAGGCTAGCACTGACCAACTCCATCTACAAAGCACTAACAATACAAGGTTTTTAGAAAACCAGGACAACAACTGTGAACACACTAGAGCCCAAAACTTTGACGGTAACATGAACACGAACTACGCTCTATAAATAGTAAACAGTGAGCTTGCCTGACGGGAATATAACTAGTCACATAACGAAGAACTGCACAATCCAACTGAAAAATTAGTTTACAGTACCGCTAAACATGCACCGATTACGTAAGGTTAACAATGACGCAATACTGCTTTACAGTGACGTAATACTGAATCCCAACACCAACAGTGACGATATATACCACGCCACCGCACAAAGTTCACAAGTGACGTCACCAACTGTGGTACACAAACAAGCACATGCGCAAAAGGTCACCGCCATGACGACGAACATACGTACACAGTCACGTGATCTAGGCGAGACAGAGACAAGGGTAGGTGTTAGAAGCGTTGGACAGCGGACAGTGACACACACTTACTACAAGCAACTTACGTGTACAAGGTAGTTAGACAATCGTGTACTCGTCTGTACCTTGCGTAACACCTTGCGTGACACTGTAAAACTGGTTCCTGACGTGACAAAATGAGTCACATTGTATTTTCCACTACATATGGAATAGGGACCAAACGTGAGGGAAAGACTACTGGATATTGACCAAGTTCTGAAACGGAGTCGAAGTCCATAAATACGCAAAAAAAGAACTTGTTCAATATCCAGACACCTTGACCTAACAAGCTCAGTCAATAAAGGATTTATTATATGGCAAAAGAACCTCTATTTTCTTGCGGGACACAGCGGGCAATCCCGAGCGGGCAAGATAGCCCACTCTTGCCTGCTTGGGTAGCCAATCACAGCGCAGGATTCGTTTTATCTTGCCCACTCACGGAGCCAGCCATATAATAAAAGAACTTACTGGAGACTTTGCATCAGCTTTTAACATTATGACTAATGAAATCATTTAGATGGACAAAATGCAGTATGATTGGTCTAAAGTTGCCTTTGGCAACCTATGACATATCATAACTCACATTGGTTACCCAAATGAACTGAGAAGTCATAGCGCTGAAAGCTGATACTTAGTCCTGAGGTTCTGGAGAGGTGAATCCCACAAGAACTTTTGAAGAAGGTACCTCATCGCAAATGGAAACACATTGTTATGCAATTCAGGCAGGATATGTTTAAAGGGTGGCTTGGGGAAACTGTGGCTAACCATACGGTTACATCGTAAAACCATCAGTCCACTAGAACCACAATGGATGCAGCAAATCTGAATCTCTCTCTTTGCACTCTTATCAGGCTGCACCTGGGTTATTGGTAAGTATAGCAATTCACTCCTTGCCATAAGTTTGCAAAAAGGACAGGCGCGAAAAACCAGGTTACTAAGAATGCCAATCAGCAGCCTACAACAAAAGCACTTCAACCATGTTCTCCAATAAACCCTGTCGAGAGAGGCTCCCCATGTCTACTGCAAAGACGGCAAGACATTTGTGGATGAAAAGAGATTCCCGTTGGGGTGAAAAGGAGCTCAGTCAAGGTTTGCGCACATTGAAAAGGTTAGCCTCAATTTTCCAAATTCGTCGTTTGTATTCTGTGTTAATCTTCTCCATCCTTGGCCATCCTTGTTCCTTTATGGTTTATCATCATCTCTATTGTGTTTTTCTATCTTATTAAACTGTTATTTTCAGGTTTCCTACCATTTAAAGGTCATTTTGTATGTGGCCAAAATAACTCAAAATACCGTCACTGAGCTCCTTTAAACAGTATGCGTGACAATATAACATTAGATCCCAATAAATAATTCCTGCCTGTCTCGTCAGAAAACATTTTGATGAGAAATGACAAGGTCAATCCAAACTGTAAGGGTGCAGAGAAATGGTTACAAAACCCATCTGCTTTTTCCTTATCAATCATGTTTTCAACATGTAAACTTTCCACCCCAATGCACATACATTTTCTACAGTACTACTTACGAGAATTAATCACAAATCACGACTAGTATATTTTCTGAATAATACTTTGAAGCTGCTGAGTATTATGCAGCAATACTATGATAAATGATACACTGATAGCATGGAAAATGCCCATTTCAATTAGTGACGAAAGGAAATTCACAAGGAAGGAAAAATATTTGAGCAAAAGATTAAGAACCACACATGAAAATAGAACATAAATCTTACTCACCAAAAACATTAATAAGGTCTGTTTGCATCCTTTGGTCTTTTAAGCTGTACCTTAAGTCTCTTCGGTCCTATCTGAAAACCGTTCATTGACTGAATGGCATTTTGAGCGAAGAGTGGGTTATCATAACTTACAAAACCTAGAAAAATAGAGAATGCCAGAAAAAAATTACATCTAACGTTTTTATAATCTCGAAATGTTATGGCACAGGAAAAATAAACAATAAGAAGTAAGGGAACACAGCGCTCAAGCTTAACAAATCGTGGTTCAATTCATTAGAAAAGTGTAAAAAATAATTCCTAGGATCTCGAACATACCAAATTTGCTATAACTATAGGGGACACATTTTTGGAAAACTGTCCCCAATAGTTATGACAAATAAACAACCTTAATGCAATCCCTGTGACATCACAGGGATTGCAACAAAGTTGTTTACAGAAGACCACACAATGAAGAAGCAGGCATTTGAACCTTTAAAATATCTCCCTCCTTGTTTGATAGTATTTGTATCTGCCATTACTATCTCCACTGTATCTATTGACTTTTCAAAGTTTTGTGAGTTTTGCAAACCCTGTGATGTCATCAAATTAAAAGGGCCACACAAGCAAATATCCCCCTTGATGGCGTGTCTTTGTGAAGGATGAGGGAGAAAAGCAAAGGAAGAATGGGAAAATTTACAGTCAAAACATTATCATCAATACCACAGAACTATTTTAGGCAACTTATTCATTTGTTTTCATAGGCACTTTAAGAGCAATTCTCCAGGAAAGTGAAGCAAAGTTGTAAATGAAAATTTTAAACCCCCCTTCATTTTTTGTGTA